CACCAGTGTTTCCCCCAGGCTTGTCCCACAACAAATCAGTGAACTTCAAGATACAACCACTGATGCACTCTGGGTCACTGTTAGGTACAATTCAACGGTAGTAATGATTGGTAATGTATATGTAAACCACTCCCTAACTTCTACAAACAACCTGAGCTCAGCACTTACCAACATCACAAAAGCTCTCCAATACTGCTCCAAGTTCAAAATCAAAGATGTAATAATAATTGGTGACTTCAACAGTAGGCACATCTCCTGGGGAGATATCATCACAACCGACCGTGGAAGACAGCTGGATTCATTCATCGCTCAGCATAATCTGACATGCATCACTCGCACTCCGAACACCAATACATTCGTCTCCCATAATGGTGGGAGTATCATTGACCTTGCTTTGTTGAAGGGTAAAGTATGTAGGCTATACCAATCGTCCAGCATTGACAGTGAAAGTGAACTCTTCACAGGTGCTCCAAATAGAGGTCACTTACCAATCATCCACCAATTCTGTCATGCACAAACTGCTCAATCTGCATCTCCTCTTCTCTACTGGGACATTGATAAAACAGACTGGAATGCTTGGTGTGGATCACTTAACAGGGCCCTTCTCCTTGGCATAACAGGCAGGATCAACTCTTACATAGACCCTCTAAAGCTGTGGCAAGACTTTAAAAACATTTTATCTGCGATTGGTAATGAATGGATTCCTCTCAAGAAAGTCAGTACCCACTCAAAACCTTTCTGGAACTCTCTCCTTACAGACCTTTCACGAACTCTTCAAGCTGCGCAGGAAACCATGAAAACCAGCTACACACCGCATAACGTCTCCCTCCACAAACAAGCAAAGGAGGAGTTTTCTAATACCTTGATATCCGAAAAAAACAAATGGATTCATCAGCAACTGGAAAATCTCAATGTTGCTCAGTCTCAAATATTCTGGAAAAAATATAAGAAGACATTGACCAATAAGCCTAACGAGTACATGGGAAATCTTATGGATGGTGGTATCCTCCACTCTGACAGAACTCAGAAAGAAAACATCTTGTACAAATCATTCTTCTCGGGTGAACACATAAATGGATACAGTTTTGATCATGTCTTCGAACAAGAAATCAATAGCTGCTATGACAACATTATATCGACTCAGTTCCCTACCGACCAATTAGATGCAATCATTAATGATCATCTGAATGGGAAAATAGGTCTAGAGGAAGTTACTTTAGCACTGAAGGCTCAAAATAGCAATGCCAAAAGTTTTGACACTGATAATCTCCACCCAAAAATCCTGAAACATCTGCCTGTGTCAGCTCTTCAGATTCTAACAAAACTATATGACCTTGTCCTTGAGACTGGTGTATGGGTCTGGGAGGTATCCAATGTCACTTTCATCAAAAAGGATGGGAAGGATAACTACATGAACCCCTCTGCTTATAGACCAATATCGATATCATCATATGTTGGAAAGCTGCTAGAAAAGATCTTGGAACGAAGAATAAAGCTCCATTGCGAACTAGAGGGCTTACTCGACGAAGAGCAAGAAGGCTTTAGACCTCAAAGAAATACTGCAAGGTATCTTTATAAATTAGTAGCTACTCTAGATGAATGCAAAAGGAAAAAACTCACTACTTTCCTGCTATGCATCGATTTTAGCAAAGCATTTGATAGTGTATGGGTGAAAGGCCTGATTTTCAAGCTCAGCAAATACCAAATACAAGGGAACATTTTGCGGATAATAAATAACTTCCTGTTATCCCGCAAAGTACGGCTGAGGGTTAACAACAGTCTCGGATTTCAACGCTCATGTGGATGGTTTGGGCTTCCCCAAGGCTCTGTCCTTGCACCCCTGCTATTTATCCTCTACATCTCGGATATGTTATGCAAGGACCAGCTCCCACTGGAATGCAGCTCTAACTCAAGCCTCTTCAAATATGCTGATGATGGAAGCATAGCAGTCTCTCACATAGATCCTATATATGTGCTCATCGAATTATGCAGTTGATGTGCAAGTACCTTCATGTCTGGTGCAGTAAGTGGAAACTTATCCCAAACTGCGACAAAAACAAGACTGAGTGTATTATGATCACACCAACATCCTCATCTGCACCTGATGTCACAGCCTTTGGACCACTCATTATCGGCAATAGACCCATAACATATACATGTCAATCAACTGTTCTTGGACTGAGGATAGACGACAAACTTACGTTCAAAAGTCACGCAAAATTTAAATTGAAACAATGCTGGTTTGCCTGGTACAGGATCACTCAAAACTCCACCCGCCACAGAGGCCTGAATGCAAGCTCACTCAAAATGCTCTTCAAAACAGTAGTACTCACAAAACTTCTATATGCTGCTCCAATATGGCTAAAAGATAACCTAGATACTTTCAAAGACTTCTATGCCAGGGTCCTCTTGAAAATAAGTGGATCCACTCACCATCCTCCCAAAGATTTGACATCTGTCGCGCTTGGAATTCCACCCCTTGAGATATCCTACAAGATGATCACTATAAAATTCATAATAAAAGCACTTACAAGTGACCCATTTATGCAAGGATTCATCTTACAGCTAGAGGAGGCAAAGGCCCATCGATATCAGCACCATATTGATGAGATACGTAAGTTCCTAACGTGGACAAGGGGGTCCAACGAGCTCAACAGAAGCAGAATAGACCTTCTGACTAGTGTCCACAACGGTGTTGTCAGCTATTCAAAAGACGAAATAACCCGCTTTATGGACTTCACCTGGAATAAACATCTCCTACTGAACCCTAGAATAAATCCGGGTGAGATACTGGATAACATCGATGAGAGGAGCAAAAAGTTGTTTCCTCGCTATTCAAGCAGGAGCACAGACACTAAAGTAATGTCTCTCTTGCATGGCCATGACATCACCTTCACAGCATTCAAGGCAAGGGTTGCCAACAACTGCGACCCTCAGTGTCCGAATTGTCAGATGTTGGACAACAATTACCATCGAATCTTCTCTTGTCCACTGTACCGCTGTTCCTACAGAGAAACCATTCAAGAGCACTCCACTAATGACCAACCATGCTGGTCTATCTTAAGAGATGGTAGTGATGGCAGCATCACTGCCTTCCGATCTTTAGCACAGATCGCCATCGGTGAACTATCATAGAATTGATACTTATACTTATAGTGCTCCTTCACCTCCATCCCCCTTCATGTCCTACATCTCCTTATGACATCACTCCCCCTTCAGCCTCTACTACTCCTTTACTACTCCATCTACTGCCTCATCTTCTGGACATCATTATCTTCTAGTTTAGTTGAGAATTCTCAACACCCACTTCCAAGTCGAGTACTCTCGATCCACTTAGTCCACATACCTTGCAAACTTACAGCAGGGTATTTGTAATGGTCTAAGTCCCTAATACACACCAAAGATGGTTCCTCTATACTCAACCGTAGGAGAAGAGAATTAGGTGACTGTATTTTGTTCTAATGTTGATATTAATATAAGTATGTTCTAGTTGTTACTCCTTTTGTTTTAACGTTTTTATGGTACTCTCCTTAAATTATTTCAATGCAGTCACTCAGATGATTTTAAATCAGGACACTTAAATAAAGACACATACTCTGCCCACAATAAGGGGCCATAATTTTTAAATTATGTAACAGTATAGAATTATTATTATTATTGAGAAAGGGGCAAGTGCTTGGTTAACAGCACTACCTTTAAAAGAGTGTGGATATCTGATGAATAAACAACAGTTCTCAGATGCAATAGCTCTCAGATACAACCTGAACTTGAAGGACTGCCCTAAAACATGTATGTGTGGCCAGAAATACTCAGCAAACCATGCGCTCATCTGCAAACTTGGTGGATATGTGTCATTGCGCCACAACTCGCTGAGAGACACCTTTGCAGAACTAATGAGAACTGTGAAATGCAAGGATGTGCAGACTGAGCCAGTTCTTCTTCCAGTTGATGGTCTAGAGTTACCAAGGGGAACAGTCCTAGGAGACCAAGCCAGGCTGGACATTTCTGCAAGATCGATTTGGAATGCTTCAGAGAGGGCATTTTTTGATGTAAGGGTATTTCATGCCCCAGCCTCCTCCTATGCATGCAAACCGATACCAGCAATGTACCTGTCCCATGAAAATGAGAAAAAGCGATGTTACAATGCAAGGGTTCTTGAAGTGGAGAAAGGAAGCTTCACACCTTTAGTGTTTTCGACTTCTGGTGGAATGGGTGGTGAAGCTGAGAGACTGGTCAAGAAGCTGGCCAGTAAGATGGAGTACCACACTGGCCAGAGATACTCAGACGCCGTAGGATACATAAGAAAGCGCCTTCGCTTTGAAATTCTTAGAACAACAGTGATTTCTCTCCGTGGAGACAGAGGTGCGAGAAAAAACATTGTTGATATAAACAGTCTAGATCTTAACTTGGAGCCACAAGGCCAAGGGTAATTTTTAATTGTCAAGGGAATTTTTTGAATTCTTAAAGGGTTGATTTTATATAGGGTCATTGCTATATTATTATGTGTATGTTGTTTGAATAATTAAAAAAAAAAAAGCACAGGTAGTCTCAGTCTTAATGTATAATTGTAGCTATTATACAAACTTGATACATGCTACAGGAAACATCTAAGGCTAATCATAAGAATGACCTATCCTAATTTGCAACAGAGAAGTGATATTATCCTTGACAAGACATGTTTTGCAAAATCTTGTAAAAGTTATTTATAAACCTCTTATTTATATATCTCTTTGGCTACTACATTGTTGAAATTTGTCTGTGAAATGGTTATTTTGACTATAAGTGTTTGAACTAAATATGAATTGATTGTGATTAAAAAATTTTGTTTTATTTTCTTGATCTTGGTGTTCAAGAATTCACTTCTAATTATATTACATGCTATTACTGTTTTTTATTATTTTATAGTTTCTATTAAATATTAAGGCTATCTATATAAGATAGAGATTGATTTGTTACTTAATTATAATCAAGAAAAATCAACAATAAACTATTACAGGTTAGATGTTTACCTGAGTTCTATATCTTTCGATAGCAACTCCATCTATAAATCTGATTAGCAAGTCATTCTGTATTCCACCAGTACTTGTGATCCTGGTTGCAGCTTTCAACATGTTTTATGGGCCCAACACTCAGCTTTCACAGTTTATGACTTCTGGCCTCCTTGCGATGTCGTAGCAGGTAGACCATTTCTTGTTGTCGCGGGCTAACCAGATTGTATAGGAACATCGAAGAGCGACCAAAGCAGCCTCATTCAGGGCTTTATTATTCGTTCTCTTCTCCAATTCAAAGTAGTTGAATAGAGCTGGTACAGTATGGTGCCAGAAGCCCCTACACCCAATCTCTACCGTAAAGAGCAGAGCTTTCCAACCGCACCCGTTGATGCCAGGAATCAGCTCTCTGTTGTAGCGTGCTTCTTTACGTGCTACTTGGTCACTGAAGTTACTCGTCACCACAAGTCAGTTCAATTAGAACTACTTCTCTCAAACTATCCGACCATACTACAATGTCGGGTTTCTCCGCTGTGTTGTAAATGTGCTGTGGGAACTGGGCAGGTAGTGTATCCTCGTCCCATATCAGCTTCCAGTCTTTCGCTCTCTCAAAGGGCCTCTCCTTCCTCAACTTTGGCTTTGGGTGTTCATACTTCCCATCCTTCGACTTGAACCGTATCCATTCTTTGTCGGAGGTCGTGGAACCTGAGGAATTGTATGTCTCCAGTTGTACCTTTAAGAGTTTCTTGCTACACTGCAGACGGCTAGGATGTGCTTGATGTTGCACGTCTTCCAACCACAAAGTGCACAATTTCCTGTACTCAAGTAGTTCCACAATTTCATGTTTGTAGGGGTATTAGCCACGTCGTGTGTCGAGTTTAGGTGGAGAGCCGGGCTCATCTTGTAGTTGTAGATAAGGCTGTTCCATCCTAAGTCTAACTGCATCGTGTTCTCCCATGTCAAGAACTTGCCCTGTACTCCCTTGTTACCAGGGTGACTAGCATGTCATTCTCTGACACCGATTCTACCAGTTGTCTTAGCTTCTGCCTCTCAGTCAACTTTGGTTTGCATCCGAGTCCTACTCGGTCTTTAGTCACTACTCCAACCAACTCCTGGAAGTAAAGATCTCGCTCTCTTGCCGTCAGCTCCGTTGTATAAGACCATCTCGGGCTGTTCTCCTGTTTCTCTCTCTTGTTATTATAGGCTTCTACAACTTTGGTGTCATCACTGTTCTTCAGGGCGTGTCCCTTTGATACCTGAAGAGACTTGTATAAGTCACTCAGCTTCTTCAAGTTTAGCCCGAAGTAATCCTTGCTCCTGTACAGGACTGTCACAGTAATTGATCTAGTAACACCCAACCACTTCTTCAAGAATCTGGTGCAGATAGCATCCAGTTCGTACACAAAACTTACAGGAAGGTTGTAAATCATCAGATCCCAGGACATCTTGCTAGTCAGCATATTATTGTAGATCCAACACTTCATGACACCGTTGAGACCACACTCATCCACTGTCTGAAACAGAGTTTTTAGTTTGTCTTCAATCCGTTGTTTAGTGTCATTTAACCCTAGATCGACATAGATCCAGTGGCCCAGGAACTTAATCGGGTTGTTTCCTACATAGCTGATTATCTGGCCGTCAATCAATATCTCTGGGTCATAAGCCTGGTACGTACCATCTATCACCTTCATTCCCAGGGAGACACACTTGCTAGGCTTGGCCTTCATTTTCCTACTCCAATCCAAAAACTGCTCCATCAACTCTATATGCTTCTTTACCTTCTCTAGTCTGGAGGACATAAGTGTTAGGTCATCTGCAAAAGCCCGATTCGATGTAGGTTGCGAGCTAAACGAGGGCTTATAACCCAGTTCTTTTTGATCTTGTAGAAGATCTAACAGTAAGTTGAATACAATCAGGAACAACACTACTGAAAGAGGGTCTCCTTGAAAGAGGCCTAACATGTAGTAGAACCAATTTGACTTCCAGTCTTTGGTTACCACCCTTACAATCAGTTCATCATAGTACTTAAACATGTAATCTATGAGCCATTCAGGGAATTTGTAATGCTGGAGGGCATAGAGGGTCAAGTTGTGTGGGACTCTGCCATATGCATATATTAAATCCACCCAGACAACGAATATCTGACGTCTAGTAGATTTGGCGTCTTTTAGTTCTTCCATAAGCACTTGGGTGTGTTCAAGACAACCAGGAGTCTTCTTCAGAAAGCCCTTCTGAACTGACTTGTCTATGTACTTATTAGACACCATATAATCCAGCATCTTGTCTGCTAGAATTCCCATGTTCAACTTGCCGCTGGTGTTTGTCTTTGTAATATTCCTGAACTTGCTTGGGTCTGACAGATCCTCAGTCTTTGGGATAAGGACTGCTTCACCAAATCGCCATTGTAGTGGCACTATCTTCTTGTCCCACAGGGTAGATAGGGTTTGGAAGATCATGTGTGCGGTTCTCGGGCATCTCTTATACACCACATATGGTACACCGTTTGGACCAGGGGATGACTTATTACGCCTGCTCTTCAGCTTTGCATCGAAATCTTCCCTGTCCAGCTTTGTCAGCTCGAACTTAACTACTGGGGGCTTGGCTTCAGGAAGACCTTCCAACTTAGTGTAGATTGCACCTCGGTCCGTGTCCTTATACTCCTTCTTGAAGAACCTGTCTGCTTAGTGCTTCTTCCTTAGAGAAGCTTGGCGGTGCGTTGTTCTGCTTACCATTAAGTAGCTTCTTGCTGTAGTCATACGGGTTTTTCTTAAACTTATCCTGCTCTTTCTTCTCCTGCTTGCCCCTCTTCTTCTTGAGCTCATTGCGTCGATATTTGTTAACTTAATTTGAGATTAAAGTATAATGAAATTTATAATTTAAAGCACTGTAAATTTTAACATATCTATACTCTATAGCTTATGATAACCATTGATACAAAGTTCATCATCTTTTGCCAGCCTTCCAATAAATCATATCCACTTTCAAGTTGCATTTTATAATTTAAATATTGACATAAATTAAAGCATATAGTGTGCAGACTTTCTGTCGCAACAGGACAGGTTCTCTATCTTTCTACTATTAATTCATCAGTCGGACAAAAATCATACACCAAATGCAAATGGGCAATGGGCACTGCATTATGTTTTAGTGAATTGTTATAAATTTGTTGATTCTGTAAAGTTTACTGATTGAAACAATATCGTATTTTATTTTATATACAAATTATTATTCTAAATTTAATTAAACCTGTTTCATGCAATTGTTTGATGAATCATATTTTGCAGGAATAGAATGTGGTGAAGCTCTGGTTTAAAGCAATATGGTAACTCAACATGAAAATCACAACCAAGCTCAGGCTATGCTGCTGATCAACAAATTGCTTGGTCCAAATGCAGCAGCTAATGCACCTGTACCGCCACCACCCCCTCATTTAATGCCTGGTGCTCCACCTTTACCTCCACCTACTAATAGCTTTGTCCCTTACAATTCTTCAGCTTTCCCTCCTTTCTTTCCTCCTGCTCAACCCCCTCTACCTGTACACGCCAATCAGAACATAGCTCCTGAAAAAATGAACTATCCTATTGCAGACCAGTCAGAGCGCAGTAGATCTGGTAAATCATACAAACGAAAGTCACACAAACGGAGGTACGATGAGACAGTTCACAGACCATCAAAGGTATCACCATTTGATGCATTAATTGCATCTCATGGCACCAGTAGTGCTAATAGAAAGTCAAGGGATTCTTTCAACACTGACCACAGTCAGAAAGTTATGGGAAAACAAATAAGAGAAATCTTGTCACAACCTAAATCAGAAAAGGATGCTAAAATGGTAGACGCAGATGAAAAAAAGGAGAAAATGAGAAAGAAGACTAAAAAAATCAGAAGTGAGAAAAGTTATAATGATTTAAATGAATTCCTTTCTAATGATCCTGTTGCAAGGAAGCGTAGGAAGATTCAGGAGAGAGTTAGAAGTAAAAGGGATTCTGCAATTGAGGCTGATAGTAAGCCAGAATCTATCTATGATTACATGCACTTTGACCCAGATAAAGAGGCATTAAAAAAGAAGACAGAGAAGATTTTGAGTGGAACTCCCAGCTCTCAATCTAAAGAATCTGCTAAAATTGATGAGATTGATGAAGCCCTGATGGAAATCGAAAAGGAAACTAAAATAGATGACAATGAGGATAAGTCTGAACCTGTGCCTATGGCTCAACCAAAAGACTTGGAAGCTGGCGAGCTAGTAGAAGAAGGTCGTAAATCTGTTTCCACTCCAGCAGTTTCTGAACCCAAGCGCATGGGAATAAGAGGATCTCTCTCTAGACCTCCTTCACCAAAACCATCTGAATTAGATATCAAAAAACTTTTAGAAGATATGGAGGAAGGGGAACTGAGTGATGATGAACAGGAGTATAATAAGCTAATAAACGATGTTGAAACAGTTGCAATGACCACAGAAGAAGCCCCAGAAGCTACAATAACCACACCTGTCAAACTTAATGTTGAAAACATTTCTCCTGTAAAACAACAACCTATGTCCATCACTCCCTCTAAAACACCATCCAAGACACCATCCAAAACACCATCTAAAACACCAACAAAAACTTCAGACACAAGTGCAAGTGCTGCTGTGATGAAGAAGTTAAACTTAAATACAGCTTCCTCAGCTGATTCTGGGTCCAAACCTAAGTCTATACCTTTCCTTACAACATCCAAAGAAGATGGCAAGAAAGAAGTGTCTATCCTAGATGATATGGCGTTTTTGAACTCTATTAGAAACAAATATACTGGTGGGCCATCTGAAGCACCCAGTCGGCCTCCTCCCAAAGACGCAGATGAGAGCATAGAAATGAAGTCTAAGGAACTCATAGAACAACTTCTAAGACAGGATAAAATAAGTAAGGAAAAGGAAAAACAGAGGAGAAATAAAGAAAAACAGAGAGAAAAAGATAAAAAGGAAAGAGACAGGATCAGACAAGAGAAACGAAGAGATAAGCTTGAGCGGCGGGAAAAGTTGGAAAAGGAGGTTTCAGATCTGTTTTCTTCATTGGCTGAACCCACAAAGCAGAAGACAAAAACCAGTAAAGCGTCCGCAACATCCAAACTGAAGAAGGAGTTCAAGAGTAACTTTGTAAAAGCCGCTGAGGGTTTTGAAGGTACTTTGATGAAGAGTACTATTGATAACTCTGTTCTACCAGCAGAAAGGCTAAATGAAGTCGAAGAGTTCGATGAGACAAAGGAACACAGGTATTGGGCTATACTCGTGTAGCGTTAACAAATTTTGAACAATACTTTTTGAAAATGTGAGCAAATTTACCTCACTTTTGCTACAATTTACCAGCTCTGGATTTAACGCTAAACTTGCAATAGTCCCATCACAACGAGATTTAATAATATAATTACATCTGTCTGATAGAGAAGCAGTATTAAAACATTTGGGTATATTTCCCTAGTTGAAATATGCTGGCTCACTTAAATTTGAATTGGCATCTGCAGGCTCAAAAGGTGGTATTAGATGATTTACAATATCATACTGAAGAAAGACTTCGTATTGTGTTACCTAATTCCCTCGGTATAGCTTCTTTAACTTGGGTCGTAGTGTCAAATTTTTCTCATTGGTGTAGACTATGTTAGTTCTAGTAGGTAAGGAAAACACATTTTTAAGGAAAAAATATTTCATCATTTCATGAAAATGTTATTCTCCATAACGTTCTCCATAATTTGCAGTAAAAAGGATGTCCAAAATGGGCCAGTCATAATAAATTTCTTGATGTCGATTTTTCTCTAAACCTGCTGCTCTATCGGACATGATGAATGTAAAGAATCCAAACTAACAGTGCAAACAATTAGATTTGAAGACGGGCTTGTTATTCAAACAAGTGTTCCTAAAGTGGACGAAACTGAATTGTACCAGAAGAATAAACCGGTTCGATATGACTACAGCAAAGTCAATGTCGAGTATCCTGAGTACGCCGTTGCTGGCGCTATAATCTACAGACTCAAAGAGGTTGGTTATTGACTTTGTAATTTAATAAATCTCGGAACACCTTCGCTCTGAAATCACGGAAATCTTTGCACTCTGGGTCTCCAGCAGATTTGTTGGAAATTGCATCTTTTGAGAGCACGTTTCCTTGATTTGTGTATGCGATTTGTATGCGATTTCACCCCTGTATGCGATTTGTGTTCCGGGGTATTTGGAACAGGTTTAGGGTTTTAAATAGTTAGTACCTGTCCCAAACCATCATAAAAATCAAGTTTCGACCTCCCAACCCACTCAGGCCACTCCCAGGGGCCACGCCCATCCCAAAATAGCTGAAATCCAGGTCAAATCCCATACAAATCCAGACTGAGAATCTTTACCCCCGTATGCGATTTATGTTCCGGGGTAGGTGGCCCATGTTTTAGTATAAAAATGGGTACTGCCTATCCCAAACCATCATAAAAACCAAGTTTCGACCTCTCAAACCACTCAGGCCACTCCCAGGGGCCACGCCCATCCCAAAATAGCTGAAATCCTGGTAAAATCAAGATTGAAAATCTTTACCCCCGTATGCGATTTATGTTCCGGGGTAGGTGGCCCATGTTTTAGTATAAAAATGGGTACTGCCTATCCCAAACCATCATAAAAATCAAGTTTCGACCTCCCAACCCACTCAGGCCACTCCCAGGGGCCACGCCCATCCCAAAATAGCTGAAATCCTGGTAAAATCAAGATTGAAAATCTTTACCCCCGTATGCGATTTATGTTCCGGGGTAGGTGGCCCATGTTTTAGTATAAAAATGGGTACTGCCTATCCCAAACCATCATAAAAACCAAGTTTCGACCTCTCAAACCACTCAGGCCACTCCCAGGGACCACGCCCATCCCAAAATAGCTGAAATCCAGGTCAAATCCCATACAAATCCAGACTGAGAATCTTTACCCCCGTATGCGATTTATGTTCCGGGGTAGGTGGCCCATGTTTTAGTATAAAAATGGGTACTGCCTATCCCAAACCATCATAAAAATCAAGTTTCGACCTCCCAACCCACTCAGGCCACTCCCAGGGGCCACGCCCATCCCAAAATAGCTGAAATCCTGGTAAAATCAAGATTGAAAATCTTTACCCCCGTATGCGATTTATGTTCCGGGGTAGGTGGCCCATGTTTTAGTATAAAAATGGGTACTGCCTATCCCAAACCATCATAAAAATCAAGTTTCGACCTCCCAACCCACTCAGGCCACTCCCAGGGGCCACGCCCATCCCAAAATAGCTGAAATCCAGGTCAAATCCCATACAAATCCAGACTGAGAATCTTTACCCCCGTATGCGATTTATGTTCCGGGGTAGGTGGCCCATGTTTTAGTATAAAAATGGGTACTGCCTATCCCAAACCATCATAAAAACCAAGTTTCGACCTCTCAAACCACTCAGGCCACTCCCAGGGGCCACGCCCATCCCAAAATAGCTGAAATCCAGGTCAAATCCCATACAAATCCAGACTGAGAATCTTTACCCCCGTATGCGATTTATGTTCCGGGGTAGGTGGCCCATGTTTTAGTATAAAAATGGGTACTGCCTATCCCAAACCATCATAAAAACCAAGTTTCGACCTCTCAAACCACTCAGGCCACTCCCAGGGGCCACGCCCATCCCAAAATAGCTGAAATCCTGGTAAAATCAAGATTGAAAATCTTTACCCCCGTATGCGATTTATGTTCCGGGGTAGGTGGCCCATGTTTTAGTATAAAAATGGGTACTGCCTATCCCAAACCATCATAAAAATCAAGTTTCGACCTCTCAACCCACTCAGGCCACTCCCAGGGGCCACGCCCATCCCAAAATAGCTGAAATCCAGGTAAAATCAAGATCTGAAGAATCTTTACCCCCGTATGCGATTTATGTTCCGGGGTAGGTGGCCCATGTTTTAGTATAAAAATGGGTACTGCCTATCCCAAACCATCATAAAAACCAAGTTTCGACCTCTCAAACCACTCAGGCCACTCCCAGGGGCCACGCCCATCCCAAAATAGCTGAAATCCAGGTCAAATCCCATACAAATCCAGACTGAGAATCTTTACCCCCGTATGCGATTTATGTTCCGGGGTAGGTGGCCCATGTTTTAGTATAAAAATGGGTACTGCCTATCCCAAACCATCATAAAAATCAAGTTTCGACCTCCCAACCCACTCAGGCCACTCCCAGGGGCCACGCCCATCCCAAAATAGCTGAAATCCTGGTAAAATCAAGATTGAAAATCTTTACCCCCGTATGCGATTTATGTTCCGGGGTAGGTGGCCCATGTTTTAGTATAAAAATGGGTACTGCCTATCCCAAACCATCATAAAAACCAAGTTTCGACCTCTCAAACCACTCAGGCCACTCCCAGGGGCCACGCCCATCCCAAAATAGCTGAAATCCAGGTCAAATCCCATACAAATCCAGACTGAGAATCTTTACCCCCGTATGCGATTTATGTTCCGGGGTAGGTGGCCCATGTTTTAGTATAAAAATGGGTACTGCCTATCCCAAACCATCATAAAAACCAAGTTTCGACCTCTCAAACCACTCAGGCCACTCCCAGGGGCCACGCCCATCCCAAAATAGCTGAAATCCTGGTAAAATCAAGATTGAAAATCTTTACCCCCGTATGCGATTTATGTTCCGGGGTAGGTGGCCCATGTTTTAGTATAAAAATGGGTACTGCCTATCCCAAACCATCATAAAAACCAAGTTTCGACCTCTCAAACCACTCAGGCCACTCCCAGGGGCCACGCCCATCCCAAAATAGCTGAAATCCAGGTCAAATCCCATACAAATCCAGACTGAGAATCTTTACCCCCGTATGCGATTTATGTTCCGGGGTAGGTGGCCCATGTTTTAGTATAAAAATGGGTACTGCCTATCCCAAACCATCATAAAAATCAAGTTTCGACCTCCCAACCCACTCAGGCCACTCTCAGGGGCCACGCCTAACCCAGAAAAGCTACAGGGGTTGGGGCAAAACTAACGTTACATATGTTGGGTCTTACACCACCACCGTGTTTCATATTATGCTATGGACCTGTAACTTTGCAGATGGCATGCTGTAACTACTCATTCGAGGATTCCGTCGCCAATGTTTGAAAATTTGAATATTTAGACTACGGCCTACGTCCATATAATATTAAATCACCTATATTGTTCTTTCCAGACATACTAGACGCCCATTTATTTCAGATTACTGTAGATATTTAATTGTTGCATCTGATCTGAAAAATTGAGGTCAATCGGAGTTGAAATGACGCATTGAATGTATCTCGTTAACAAAATTGATTGGGTGATTATGTGATAGGACACCTTGATTGGGTTCCCTTGCAATTTAACGGGGCCATCTAATCACCTGAACAGGTAATCCAATCACCTGATCACACGTAATGAATAAACTCGTTATGCCTCGTATCTCGGACATCTGAGAAGCTACAACTCTCATTTTTTCAGATCGAACGTAATTTGAATGGCAAAATACAATCCTATAAAATTTGGCTCGATCTGATTATCAAAACTATTTAAAAAATGCGATAATGAACCTTCATTCGAAAAAATGAACATGAATATTCTTTAATTTAACATATTCCTCGAATGAGTGGTGATAGTAAGTCATACCAAAAAGAATACCCCGGAACTTAAATCCCCTACAGGTGTAAAGATTCTCATTCTTGATTTGACCTGAATTTCAGCTATTTTGGGATAGGCGTAGCCTCTGGGAGTGGCCTGAGTGAGTTGAGAGGTCGAAAATTGGTTTTTATGATGGTTTGGGATAGGTAGTACCCATTTTAATACTAAAACATGGGCCACCTACCCCGGAACATAAATCGCATACGGGGGTAAAGATTCTCAGTCTGGATTTTAGCTGGATTTCAGCAATTTTGGGATGGGCGTGGCCCCTGGGAGCGGCCTGAGTGGGTTGAGAGGTCGAAACTTGGTTTTTATGATGGTTTGGGATAGGCAGTACCCATTTTTATACTAAAACATGGGCCACCTACCCCGGAACATAAATCGCATACGGGGGTAAAGATTCTCAGTCTGGATTTTAGCTGGATTTCAGCAATTTTGGGATGGGCGTGGCCCCTGGGAGCGGCCTGAGTGGGTTGAGAGGTCGAAACTTGGTTTTTATGATGGTTTGGGATAGGCAGTACCCATTTTTATACTGAAACATGGGCCACCTACCCCGGAACATAAATCGCATACGGGGGTAAAGATTCTCAGTCTGGATTTTAGCTGGATTTCAGCAATTTTGGGATGGGCGTGGCCCCTGGGAGCGGCCTGAGTGGGTTGAGAGGTCGAAACTTGGTTTTTATGATGGTTTGGGATAGGCAGTACCCATTTTTATACTAAAACATGGGCCACCTACCCCGGAACATAAATCGCATACGGGGGTAAAGATTCTCAGTCTGATTTGTATGGATTAGCTGGATTTCAGCTATTTTGGGATGGGCGTGGCCCCTGGGAGTGGCCTGAGTGGTTTGAGAGGTCGAAACTTGGTTTTTATGATGGTTTGGGATAGGCAGTACCCATTTTTATACTAAAACATGGGCCACCTACCCCGGAACATAAATCGCATACGGGGGTAAAGATTCTCAGTCTGAATTTGTATGGGATTTCAGCTGATTTCAGCTATTTTGGGATGGGCGTGGCTCCTGGGAGTGGCCTGAGTGGTTTGAGAGGTCGAAACTTGGTTTTTATGATGGTTTGGGATAGGTAGTACCCATTTTTATACTAAAACATGGGCCACCTACCCCGGAACATAAATCGCATACGGGGGTAAAGATTCTCAGTCTGAATTTGTATGGGATTTGAGCTGGATTTCAGCTATTTTGGGATGGGCGTGGCTCCTGGGAGTGGCCTGAGTGGTTTGAGAGGTCGAAACTTGGTTTTTATGATGGTTTGGGATAGGCAGTACCCATTTTTATACTAAAACATGGGCCACCTACCCCGGAACATAAATCGCATACGGGGGTAAAGATTCTCAGTCTGGATTTTAGCT